AGAGAGAGAGAGAGAGAGAGAGAGAGAGAGAGAGAGAGAGAGAGAGAGAGAACAAAATCAAATGAATCCACCGGTAGAACATGGAAATATACATTGCGGACATGCGCGCAGCACACAGACGTGCGCAGCGCACCGCGCAGCGCGCACTGCGCACCCAGATGCGCGGCGCACGTCGGTGCACACGCACCCTGGGTCCGTGCACAGGGCACCGTGCAGCACACAGTGCTGGTGCGCCGCAAGTATGGAAATACCCCAACAATGGGGAAGAGCAAAGCAAAGGGAAAAGAAAAAGGATAGAAAGGTGAATTAGAAAAGAGTATAATCTACCATAGCCAAAGAAAGAGCCTGCTAGTACAGGCCCAACGCTCGCTGCATCATCTATCTATATTGTGACATATCTATGAACTAAAAGAGCGCACTTTGCACAAGAAATGATAAGAATAAAAATACACAAGATGAAGTGCACACTGAAACCATTCATTTTTCTCTTTATTCGATATGTATATAACAAAACTCCAACGAAACAGTCTGTCACATGCCCTCATTTGTTGTCCTCTTCTCCCTCTCTGCCTATGGTTCATCGGGAAGTTCTCTAGGACGATATATGTAAACATATATGCAAATACATATACAAGTATAAAATCACATAAAATTTGATAAAAAGGCAATAACAAAAGAAATCCCACTTCCAGGCGTGTCATGTCAATCGAATGGAAGTCATGTAGGCAGGAGGACTTGCGTCAACATAAGTGGCCAAGCATGGAAAACCATCCCGTTAAGCACTGCCAATTTCCTGTACAGTTGGTTGTCTCGTCAGAGACAGCACCCAAATGCAGAAAAAGAACGTAGCCAGGTTCCTAGTTGGATTCATTCCACTTAGCAAGAGACAAACTAATGTTTGGAGATTAGAGTGGAGTGCAGTTTGAGAGGAAATCAAAGCATTCACACCGATTGAATTTTCAGACCTGATGCTCCCTGATAGGTACATTGCAAGCTTTGCATCTGAAGCAATCTGGGTGCCACGACCGACCAAGGCAGTTGAGATATCTCCCATAACCAATTGGCATCTTACACCTAGGGCAGCCGAGAACAAATGGACTGCCATTGGAAAAGCAAGAGTGTACACCGCAAACATAAAATCATGGGAAGACAAACAAACGTATCAGCGATCAACGAGTACCCATGTCGTGCTCCACCACCATAGACCCCCAAAATTTCCCTCTCCTCTCGATGTGCTCAGACAATTCATCACAAACAACCTACAAGCTGGCAAAGTGGTGAAAGATATGAAACACTTCTTATTTGTGCCCAATAATAAAACTATGCTCAAGCCTCAAGTCCGAAAAGGTAATTCAGAGATGACCAAGCACAAATGCACATTTTGGTAATTGTAGACATTCTGAACATTCTTGCAAAGACACGTCATGTGAATGCCCAGAGCAGGGTTGGGCCAGGACTGTGTGGCGCATGACCTGTGAGGCGCACGGGAAAACAGGTCCCCTCCTGAAAGAAAAAGGGTTGCAGCCTTGCAGGCCTTGATTTCACCCTTGTAAAAATCGGTTCCTGCCCAAAAAATGGAGCATAGCAGGTTGTGCTTTAAAGACAGAATTTGAAAAACTAGAGGCGTGGGGGCTGGGCTCCTGTTGTAGGTGTGTTGCTGTGCTGCTGCTGCCCTGCCTTTGCAACTGCATTCTTAGACGCGAAGTTCAGGGGCATCAGGGCACAGTTTGCCATCCATGACACCAAGATCCGGGAACGCTTCAACACATGGTTGTACACATGGACCTCTCCGGACACTCTCAAGGATGTGAGTTCACAAGAGGACAACTGGGTGCAAACGAAGGCGGCTTTGGGACTTAGGGAAGCATTGGATGCAGCAAGAGTGAAAACCCAGCTATGTGGCAGGACGTGTTCGACTGAAACGTTGCAGACCCAGGTGATAAAGGTCCTGGGACAGGTGAGCTCCTCCGCTGGATGTGAGCTTAACTGGAGCTTGCACGGGCTTATTTTGGGTAGGATGACAAAGCTGCTACTGGGCCATCTGGCCAAGATTGTGTGCAACAACTGGAATAGCCACTTCGAGTGGGGGCCAGAGCATGGGGCTGCTGAAGACCATGTATGCCCAAGGTGGAGGCAGCACAGTATTACAATGTGTGGGTACAAAGTGAAGGACGCCACAATGGATACGGTGGCTGACGCAGTGGAGGAGAGTGCCGGCATGGAGGAGGTGCACCAGGAAGGCAATGTGCCTTTGGCAAGAAGGTGGTTGCGCAGTGACAAGCTGAACGGCATGCTTGACAACCAGGATGGCATTGCGCACATTGAAAATTACAGCAGTGAGTGGCAGGTCTGCACTGCACTAATGAAGGGAAAAGGAACGCCTTTTGAGGAGGTGATCGGGCCATGAGCAAGCTGACCCCGTTATGGATACGATGTCGGGGACCGAGAGCATGCATTGCGGGCATGAGGGACAAGTGCTTGGGTGGAGGGAAGACAGGAAAGGTGTGCCAGCAGGCCACACAAGAATGCGGTGCACGGAAACATCACGCAGACGGGCAAATTGCACCTCTGCAAAAAAAAGGAAGAAGGGACGCCCAAGAAAGGCAAAGGTTGCCAGGAGGAAAGCAGCTGAGAAGGCTGCAAGGAAACCCGCAGCAGCTGCTTCGTGCACAGTCGTGGGCACCAGCACAACACGGGAGGAAACAGAAGAGGGTGATCGATGATGACATCTGCGGTACGTCATCTTCAACTTCATCCTCATCATCATCTGCTCGTTATGATGATGCTGGAAGGGAGTAAACATGAGGGTGGTGGAAGCGCGAGGGGTTGAATGTGCGGTTGACGGAAGCAGATGGGAGTATGATGGCTGGGTGTAGTTTCCATAGTCTATGAAGTCTGGACTTTCGACAAACATGCTATTTTTGTTGTCGGTCTTGAAGTTTGAACTCGCAACTTTGCAGTTTTGCAATGCAACTTTTAGCAGTGCAGTGTTGCAGCATTGCAGTGCTGCAGCTTTGTTCTGTTTCCATGTGTTCGGACATTGCGGTTTTTCTGTTTTGTGTTACGTGGAGGAGGACGGGGGAGGAGATCTACTTCATGAATAGATCATCGAAGCAAGATGAAAAATGGTAGGGTAGAAGATGAGGGCTGAATGGAGGGTGGAACATGATGGAGTTTTGTACAACACTGAAACTTTTTGAGTCGTACTGTGGTGGAACCACTCACGATCGTACTTCAACGGTGGGCAGACCTCTCCCGAGCGGAACCGCACATCACCACATGCTGCTCCATCTGGCCCAGTGCCGCGCAGGAGGCTCCCGTATGACACGTCGCACTCTCATCCGGGAAGCCAGAGAGGATGAAGGGGGAGGTTCGTGGACGTGTGGTTTTGAATGCTTGATCTGAGATTGGATGAAAGAAACCATTGCAGAAGCTGACGAGGCGAAAAGGCAAGCTCTGAGAGAGAGAGAGAGAGAGAGAGAGAGAGAGAGAGAGAGAGAGAGAGAGAGAGAGAGAGAGAGAGAGAGA